CAACATTCCCCAACTGCCATTACTGAGTTTTTTTCATAGACTAACTTTGATTTTGGCTACTTTCAATAATTTAAAGTTAACTTGGACCATTTATCAGAATACAATACAGTGTCACACAGGATATTCAAATACTTTCTCACACAGAAGATGTTAAGCTGATATTCAATATTCCTTTTCAAATATATCCTCTGAGATCGTTATGAATGAGTATAACTTGTGACTGGGCTACTACACACTACTTCTGTTTTTGTTGCTGACATTTTAAACATTGTTTAAATGTTATGTATGGATGTTTTAAAAGCATATTTTGGCTGGGAACTTTGGGTGCATAATACACTTTTAAACATTTTTTGTAAGGAAGTCAAAACAGCAGGCACAATTAATAAAGCAAAGGAATAGAATAAAAGCAATTATTGTTAAAACTCATAAAAATGGACTGTTCTGATTATAACAACTTGCATGTCTTCAAAATTGGTAAAAAATTAGTCTACGGGCATGAATGTTGAAATCCCACACTGGGTTATAAACTCACAATTACAGGGACACAAATGAAAAGCTTCTCTCATCTCAGCATACCACCAATGCAGCGTAATTACTGTCAGCACTTTTACAGCAGATACAGCCAGAGAACATGACATTCCTTGGCTCAGCATATTACGTTCTTCTCTTAGTTCTGCTCTTAGTTGTTTTATAGTACTGCCAGGCTGAATGTGTTTTATGTCCCAAAGCGCGGTGTTGGTTTTGGTTTAAAGCATTCATTGCAAATGGCCTGAACTCACAGGACACAAAAATGGGGTGGACACAATGAAGCACGCTGTGCATTGTATTTCAGTGCATTACAGTAGCCATGCAATAAATACACATTTTTCGATTTTGTAGTGTGTCGCATCATTCAAAATGATATGGCTGACATCTCATAAAGTCACTAAAAGACATATGTGGTGCTCTGCGGGCTGAGAAAATAGCCTGAGGTGACCTTTAACACCCCATGGGCCAAGAAAATGATTGGTTTTTGGTTTGGCGAGTGCCATCATGTAACCATTTATAAAGCCCTTTATGGCCTCCCTCAAAACACTCATTAACAAGGTTTTTTTGTTCTCGCTCTTTATACAAATTACTAGTACTTTTAGTATCACATTCAAATTACCCACAAAAAAAGTTTTCTGTAACTAGTTGCCAAATTCTTGCAGGCATAGGCAATTTGACATAGTTCAGTGACCCTTAGAAAATATGACATGGCATAGAGGAGTATTTTTACCAGTAAGAATTCCAAGCCATCGGTTCACCAGCACTGAGCAAAAAAAAAAAAAAAAACACAAGACTTTTCCAATTTCCTGATTCTCCTTTATACTTTTTTCAGTTTTGTACCAAATATCATTTCATCCACTGACTGGCAAATGCAGTAATTTGAACCAAACAGCCAAATGTAAAGTGTGCCATGAAATAATAGGTTGAACCTCGTGTTATCTTAAGGGTCCAAAATTACCAGCCACTGTGTTTAACAGCAGGAAAAAAAACCTCCCTTTTTTCTGCTTGAAATGTTATGCCTATTCTTAGAGTGACCTTAACATTAGGGAAAGCGAAACACACACAGACACACGCACAATGAGAACTTGAGAATATATGTGCTACTGATTGAATTTATAAAATACAAAAAAATACTTTGTAGTGCATGTGCAGCATCTCCCATCCACAAGCCCACACATGATTTAAGTTCACAGAAAAAACTGACACAAAGAACAGAATTTCAGACAAAATAATTTCTTGAAAGTGTTGTTTACTACTGGGGAACGCAGTCAGAAGTGGGGGCACCTTCTATAAAGGTGCTGCAGATGACAGAACCCCTAGTTGTGCAGTACTCAGCAGGTTGTAGATCAGATTTTTTCAGATATCCAGGAGGAACAAAAGAGCAATGATCTAGAAGGGGAGGAGGAGAATACCCAGATATTCACAAAGCTTGTGATGAATGAAAGGTTGTTTCTTCATATAAAATAGATTCAGAGTTTAAAATTCAATTAAGCTGCTTTCTTTCAGGGGTTAAGTGAAGTCATTTTTGAACCTTAAGACTAGAATGTTAAGACAACATCAGACTAGATACCAGAAGAACAACCACCACAGACACCACAGGGTGACTTACACAATATTGAAAAGAAAAATATGAAAACTGCTGGTAAAGAAATGTATTTATATAGAATTGGCTGCATTTGAGGAAGCCAGGCTTTCCCATTCTGACAAGAGTGTTCAGTAAACATCAATGTATTCCCATACACTGATTTTTACCAAACCAAACTTGCCAAATACACACAAATATCAGTTTAAATCATCCAGCAGGCATTTACACTCCCTGTGGGTTTGTTATGTGTAAAATGATTGATGCACACAAATAAAGTCAATCTGATCTGCTGAAACTCTTTGAGGAAGTAGTGGCCATTTTGCCCACATGCCCAAAATAGTTCTCCTAATTTCCCATTAATTACACTGTTGAGAACCCATTGTAGCATACTGTGACAATCCCTTTTGCAGTTTAGTGACCTGTTCTGAAATCTGATTGAAAATGAATAGCTCACAGTTCTGGGAGATACAAGCATTCAAAAGGCTGTAGAGAGGTATTTTCAGTTGAAGGGTAGATGGGCTGAAGTATTCATATCAGCACACTGGAAAGAGGAAGTAAGTGGTAAATGTAATTTACATAAAGGTCTAGTAACATTTAGGAGGATCAATTGGCAGAAACTGAATATAATATTCATAAGTATGTTTGAACAAACCAAACACTGGCTTTACTGGCCTTACGCATTTTTGGCGAGTTTCTCAGCCACTGTAGTTTCCCCTTCCCTGCTTGGAAGGCTGAGCTGTATTTAAATGGTTGTAATCTGCAACTCCATACACTGGTCCTTTAATTAGTGCACAAAATTGATGCAAGTTGATGCAGACATACAAGTGTTTGAATGGAAGCTACTTGGTTGCAACACACTTTCAAGAGTGGTGCTCTTGAGCAGGCAACAACATGCAAGAGTGCAAGAGACATTTAATAATTTCCCAGTATACACTACATTTCCTTTAACTCTTTACACTTGTGTGTCGTTAAGGTTCAGCCCAAAGCATGTAACAGACCTGCAGATCCACTAAAGGATACCATGTCAGTTACACGTTTTGCCTCAAATAGACGTGAAAAGTACACAAGCGTATGACTGTGCAGTATAAAAGTCCATGTAGGGACGGTTCAGACAAACACAGCACTCAGGAGACTGCCGGCTGTTTGGGTCCCATGTGACAACTTGAACTTTAGATCATGAACGTAAATTAATTTACGTAACAAACTTAACTTACAGCAGGTGCAAACTTACAATCTTTTTCTAAACCTAACCTAGTTTTGTTGCCTCAACTTAATCACATTGCGAGCTGAGCAAGCTTTACCGGTGTAGGTTGTACAGTATAGACATGCTGGGGTAAATTGTAACAATTAGACAAAAGAAGCAAAAACAAAGTCACACCAAGCGATATGCTTCAGAAAGGAGTTTATTGAAATAAAAAAAAACACTCTGACATTGTAAAGAAAGTGTAGGTCTGAAAAAAAAACTATGTGTGTATCCTTAATCAGAGTCACAATGGTGATAAATGTTGGTTATCCTAGAGTGCAGGCTTGGTGGTCCCAGAGACTGCAGGGCACATTTTACCCGCACTTCCTTTAGCTTCAAGTTGACAAATGGCTCCATACAGACAACAAGACAAAAGTTTTTGAACTCTCAGAATCCTCGGAGTGGGCTTTCAACATTTTCAGGGCGGGCTTTTTCTCTTTTTGCTTTTGGCATTCTCTATAATTATTAAAAGCATGTTCTTAGTTGCATGGAAGGGGAGGGTGTAACACTTGTTAAAGCATTACAACCTGGATTACAAACTGGATTTCAGCCAATGTTTAACGAGGTGTAGCATAGTGGTTTGAAATGAGCGGGGGAAGAATTCATCACATTTTGCCTGAGAAACCACAATTTAATATAAGTAATATAATTTTATCTGCACTGACATACTAAACAAATTATCTTGGTCATAAAATTACGTTCTTACCACAAAATAATTGTTTTCTCTGTAGTATCTGGATGCACCTGTTTAATAGGTATTTGTAATTTTTCCACCACAATTACATCCTCATATAAATCAATAATAATAATGATACTGAAAAGTTTCTTGGGTGGGTGTGAATCTGGACTCATGACCTCAGTATTTTGAAAATCAAGGCTACACCCCTAGTTGTTCATCATTTTGTGGTAAAAAAAAAAACAACCTCTATGATGAATATTATTTCACAGTCTCATTCCTGGTCTAACAGAAGGGTGGAGCAGCAATAATTTAAATTGCCGCCCCTGTGTAATCACCTTTGCAAGGAACTCTTTTGCTAGGTAGTGTTTCTGGAGTAAAGCCTGTGGGAGGAAATCCTGACAGGTTCCTGACATGTCTCCTTCTTTTCAGATAAAATGTTACTTCACATCATGGTGAATCACAGCCTGTTTGTTCTATCCAAGGGCTTAAAGTATTCATCCTATCTTCATTCAAAGGAGGAAAAAAACATGAATAAACTGTACTAAAATACACAGTTCTTGAACAGTCACAACAGACAAAATCCTCTTCCCTGAAGGAGTAAATGGAGTCATGGTTTCACCTGTCAGCAGCTGCAGGGACCTCACTTACTGACTCTTATCAGGTTTACCCAGTGCAGCAGTTATTACAGTACTATGCCAGAAGAAAATAGCATTTTTCTGATTAAGAGGAAGAACTTTTTATTGTTAAGATAATCGGGCAGTCAGCTCTTTTGTTTTGGTGTGAGCACCCCAGCACTCTCTCTCTCTTTCTCTCTCTTTCTCTCTCTCTCTTTCGCCCTTCATTGTGATTCGCTTCTCTCTCTCTCTCTCTCCTTTATTTGCTGTGGGACTCCCCCTCCTCCTCTCCTCTGCGCCTCAAAAGCGCGATCCATGGTGCGAAAGTCTCCTTTTCTCCGTTTTCCTTCAGGATGGCATTCTTCAAATATCTTCGCTCTGTTAAGAATGAGCTTATCCTCTTCTCAGCTCCATTTCTTCTGCTTCCACTGCCTTTAGTGATCGGGACATCGGTATGTAAATGATTTGGATGCAACAGTAGATTTATTTAGATTAAACTTTGCCACAATGTTTAGTGTTTAAAGTGGAGAAATCCGGCAACTCTTGGTGATTTTAAACGTAAAATAATTGAAGTGTTGGATGTCTAATTGCTATTTGGCAACATATACTTCACTCAGAATATCTTTAATTATATAGCCTATTTTTAAAGTTTGCTCAATTAGGAGAACACTTCGTTTGCATGCCGTTTTAACACATGAATGGACTACATTCAACCGCAAATTCAGAGCGCCGTATGTGTTCGCCTTAAAATGCCGTTTAAATGAATGAGCCTGATTTGCACTGGTTCTCTCATGCACCTGTTGATGCTGCTCGCAAGTGCGCAGCGCACTTGGAGCAAAACGCATGAGAACTGTCCAGTGTTGCCTGAGGCTGAGCGCTCTGAAGTTTTGTTGTTTTAACTCCTTGTTGTTAACATGAAGGGTCATGTCCAGCGTGGGAAACACAGAGTCAAAGGGCTCTGTCCACGTTGCGACCACTAGCCTACATGTGACACAAGAGACACGCACACAGGCATGTATAAGCATGTTATGATAGACATGAACTGCAATGCAAAGCAGCCACGAACAGAGACATCAGGTAGAGGAAGAGTGTGACATATCAAACTTTAGGATTATTTGCTTGCGTGCAAAAACTGAAGACAAAGGATTTTATTTTAAGTACAAGATTAAAAAGCAACCAATGCACTCTTTTAACTGAAAAAAAAAACGTTATGAAATGTTTAATTACAGAGGCTGCAGGGCAAAAAAAACATAACAAGTCATTTTTATAATAGATGTGTTTATAGACCTCATAGGTTTGATCTCAGCGAATGTACAAGCAAGTGACCAGAAACAATACAACAGGACAAGGACACTTATCTTTACCCTTTGAACCATAATAACATCCCATTAAAAATTACATAATACTGTTTGCATTAGCCAGAAGGGATCCTTTGTTTGTGTACCATTACTGTATGTTTTTACATGTTCTTATGCAGGAAGCAGAATGTGCCTATGTGATAGTCCTGATGGCGGTTTACTGGTGCACAGAGGTCCTACCACTGGCTGTAACAGCTCTGCTCCCAGCCCTCCTTTTCCCCTTGTTTGGCATCATGCAATCCAAAGACGTAAGTAAAATAACTACACCAGTGTGTAAACTTTTGCTCAGCAAGGACACATTTCTGCTCACACGTATCTTACTCTGTGTGACCCTGCTGTCTCAGGTGTGTATGCAGTACCTGAAGGACACAAACCTGTTGTTTGTGGGGGGATTGATGGTTGCAGTAGCCGTGGAGCATTGGAATCTACACAAGCGCATCGCCTTGAGGGTGCTGCTCTTTGTTGGTGTGCGTCCAGCGCTGTGAGTGGCTCAGATGCACACCTCCACAGCAAATTCTCTTTTTTGCTTGTCATCTACATTCAGACTTACATTTCCTAGGCGTATCTAATCAACTACATCATAAAAAACACCCAATATAGATAAAGGAAGTGTTTTTATTGCCATCATGACTGTCTTTCTCTCTTTTTATTATTGATTGTTGTGAAACCGCCAAAGCTCCCTCTTCTAATCCAAGGCCACTAACAGTATTTATGTTTTTTTTTATCTTCCTGGCAGTTTGATGTTGGGTTTCATGGGTGTGACAGCCTTCTTGTCCATGTGGATCAGTAACACAGCAACCACAGCCATGATGGTGCCTATTGTCCAAGCAGTGCTGGAGCAGCTCAGCAACAATGAGGCAGAGATACCTCAGATCATCAGCTCAGAGGAGCAGGTCCAGACATCAGAGACTGACAGCAAACAGCCTCCACAGACAGAGAAGCAGAGCGAGGGGCAAGGTGAGCCATCCTCACATTTGAGCACAATCTGTTTGGCCAAGAAAACGCTTTAAAGAAAACACGCAGCTCTTTTAATCCCTTGCTCTTTGTCTGAAGGCTCAGTGGTGGTGACTTTCTTAGATGCCGCAGTGGAGGCTGCGAGGCTAAAGGAGGCGGCAGAAAAGCGGAAAATGTGTAAAGGGATGACCCTGTGTGTTTGTTACGCTGCCAGCATCGGAGGCACAGCCACACTGACAGGAACAGGTCCCAATCTGGTGCTCAAGGGCCAGATGAATCAGTGAGCGTTTTCTTAAAGCATTGATTAGTCATGATCTATTGCTTTAAATCTTGTTGTATAAAATGTGTGAAAAAAAATCCCTTTTGTTGTTTTCTTTAGACTCTTTCCTCAAAACGGAGATGTGATTAACTTTGCTTCCTGGTTTGGCTTTGCCTTTCCCAACATGATCCTCATGCTCACTCTGGCCTGGCTTTGGCTTCAGTTTGTCTTCATGGGATTCAAGTGAGTTTGGTGATGGTTAAAGCCTAATTATAGTGACAGACACTTGAATCAACATCAAGAAATTTTTACCGCTCAGGAGTGTGATTTAGTGTAGAGGTGACACAAAGATTTTTCCCTTGTGATCCGTCTAGCTTTAAAAAGACATGGGGCTGTGGAGCTGTGAAAACAGAGAAGGACATTGCTGCCTATAATGTGATCCGTGAGCAGCATCGTCTCCTGGGGCCCATGTCCTTTGGAGAGATAAGTGTCCTGGGTCTCTTTATTCTGCTGGTGGTGTTGTGGTTCACAAGGGAACCAGGCTTTGTCGATGGCTGGGCGACAGAAATCTTCAACTCCAAAGCAGAGTTTGTACACAATGTGTTTCTATTTTTTTATTATTTTATTTGAAAAAAACGTTTCATTTAAGTTTGTTCATTCTTTCATCGCTCCACTTCTCAGGTATGTGACAGATGCCACGGTGGCTATCTTCATTGCAATCCTTCTCTTTGTTCTGCCCTCTAAACCACCACGTTTCTGTTCATGGAAGACACAGAGTTTTGACACAGGTGAGGCATTGTTCTGCAACAATATAGATCACATTTAATACAGTTATAACCAAGTTTTAAGAGGTCTAGACTGTGCAATGGTGCAACACTGACACTGAGTTTATTGTATCTGTAGCACCCCATCAAGCTGCTGGCCCAACTCCACCTCTGCTCACCTGGAAAGTTGCCCAAAAGAAGTTACCATGGGGCATCGTGCTTCTTCTTGGAGGAGGTTTTGCTCTAGCCAAGGGCAGTGAAGTAAGTGACAGTGGCATAATGTTAATGGGAAACTGTGCCAAGAACTTACACACAATTGGTGAGAATAACAATATCTGTGGTGGTGGCTTCATGGTTGGCTGAGTTTAAAGTTACAAAATATTTTCATGTCAAGTCAAACCTTCTTTTTTATACTATTTATACAATCTTTTTAAGCAATAACCATTCAATGTATTTACGTCATTTAACTACCTTTCTATATAGTCTTTTTTATCGTTAGTGGCAGAGTCATTCCTTAACTGGATTCTATGCACAAGGGATTCACATGAAACGCTTTACAACTAATCTCATTGTCTCTCATTATTTATGGTTTGCTCCGATCAGAGCTGTAATGCTATGCAAACTGAACATTTTCTACTGCTGGTAATTCAGATGTTCTCATGAATGTGTTTTCATTTTATTTTTTATGCTGCAATTACCACTGAGTTCCATTTCAAATGCACAAACCTGAATTATAGTATAAACACAGTAGATAAGCAAATGTTAACTCAGCCGTAGATGAATACTGTGTACATTTCCAGAAGAGACTTTAACCCTGTATATGTTTATGTTATATATATATCTGTAGGAATCAGGACTCTCAAAGTGGATGGGAGATCAAATGACTCCTCTGCAAAACATCCCTCCCTGGGCAATTGCTATCATCTTATGCCTGCTGATTGCTACCTTCACAGAGTGCACCAGTAATGTGGCCACTGCGACGCTCTTCCTACCTGTCTTAGCCTCAATGGTAAGTTCTCAAAGAGAGTGAAATGTGTTTGATGAAAAAAAACAGAATCTCAGACTGCAGGAGACAGACAGTTATGTTTGGCAGCAGTGGTTCAGTGAGGTGAAGTGCTACATAGTGTAATTTCTTTTGAACTGATTTCCCCAATTGGAGTCCAGCATTGAAACTACTCCCAGTTTGAGCCGGCCTATTTTCCCTTGTTTGGTTACCCATCTAGTCGGTCATTCAGGCTGAATATGTTTGGTCCCCTTCCCCGGGCCCCTCCTCCCATTAATAACCTGCCAAACACACCAGTTCAGCCCAGTGCCTTGTAATGCTGCCCACCCCGCTGCTGCTGAAGAATGGCAATACTGTGCCCGCTGGTCAAGCACTCGAGAGAATGCCAAAGCTGGGTTGTGAAAGACAGTGCCAAGGAGGGGTATTCAGATAGATATTTATGGAGGGAGAAGCCAAGTGGGTTCCACCAGGGTGTCCAACCCTCGTGTGAAAATAGAGGCAGAAAGAAAAGAGAGAAAGAAAAGAACATCTGATCAGTTACATGCAGCTGAAAGTGGGGAGATGACACTTTGTGGTAGTCTTGGCTTGTGGTATGTCACTGAATGTGTCATCCTGTCAAGTGAATCTTAAGCGTTTGATTTAAACATCAGACAAGACAAAACACTGTCATTGTAGGGACCTGATATACAGCCTACAGTTTAAAGAAGACTAACTATAAAGTTTAGGTCTTTTTACCCTTTGTTTATTTTGAGAACCAGAAATTACTGTGCACTTGTGCACTACTGTGCTGCGGGATATGTAATTCAGAAGCAAATTCCAGAGTAATGTTTTCTGCATCTTAGTAGGCTGCCATTATCGCTACATATGTAGTGCTTTTCTATTTTAGATATCATGACTCAGCCCCGAGCTTGCAGGAATTACATCTTAATTACACCCACCTAATGAGAGTTTTCACTCCACACAGAATTGCACACATTTCACTCTGAGTTATGAGTCAGTGATTACAGTTGCAGAAAAATAGCCAGATGAAGGAGTGGAGGATTTTGTTATCAAGGCTATGTTCATCCCTGTCTCAGTCTGTTGAAACTTTCTGTGTCATTATTGCAGTCTCAGTCCATTGGAATGAATCCACTGTACGTCATGGTGCCTTGTACTCTGAGTGCCTCTTTTGCCTTCATGCTGCCTGTTGCTACGCCTCCAAACGCTATCGTCTTCTCTTATGGATATCTCAAGGTTGCTGACATGGTGAGTATGGCAGTGGTTTGTTGTGTTTATACAGTAAATTATATGTCAAACATGCAAAGTCATCACTTACACTGTAAAGTACTATGTATTCATAGTTCACTTGCAGTTATGACCTGAAACCTTTGGTGGAAAAACTCAATGTTGTTCATTTTCTTGCCGAATGTCAATTGAGAAGATTGATAACATTCTTAGGGTGTGTTCAGACAGAAAGCGATGCAAATTTTCACCTCACATCATTCTCACAAATTTGACTGCTTGACTGTTGACATTTCCGTTGACTTTGCATGCCATCACATCCCCTCTAAATCTAATTCACTTTTACACCTATGTAGTAAATATGAAGCTGGTTCACTAAACTAGGCACTAAATACAGTAAATTCATCAATTCATCAAATTCAAAGCTAGTAGCTGTCTTATTTCGCAGGATCCACAAGAGCACAGAATACATGGTTAGTGTTTAGCTAAGAAGCTAACTCACTAACCTACTCCATGTTCACATTGGTCCCGCAAAATACAACAGCTACAACTTGGAAAATGGCAATATGGGGCACTGAATTTAATGAATTTGTTCTTTATTCCAGACCACAAATGAGACAAGGATTAGGTTAAAGAAATTATAGAATGATGCTAATTATGACCCAACACTGGATCTCACTGATTACAGTACAAGAACACAACTTTATCAATTTACAGAGTTGAGGCAATAAATAGTGAGAAAAATGCAAAGGGGAAATAATACAGAAATTATTTATTTTCGATTTTGGCAGTTGCTGTCCTCCATATAAGATCAGTCTTCTCCTCTAACTCTCAGAAAGAAAGAAAGAAAGAAAGAAAGAAAGAAAGAAAGAAAGAGAGAAAGCGAGTATTTCCCAATATTTCCAACTATTGATTTAATATCACTTCTCTTCTCCATCAGGCCAGGACAGGAATCGTCATGAACATCATTGGCATCCTTTGTATTACACTGGCAATCAACAGCTGGGGTAAAGCCATGTTTGAACTAGACTCCTTCCCCACCTGGGCCAACGTCACCGGGGTGTGAGCCTTCTGCCATAGGAGATGTTCCACGCACACCCTGCCCTCCCTATCCACAGGTGCCAGACAAAGACCACCAGTCAGAGCGACAGCACAGGACCACATGGTGGGCCGAATGCGTCCGACTGATGCTCGAATACAAGCCTCTCAAGGCTTGTTTTCATTGACACCTGAGTCTTGCTTGTGAAAGAAAGAGGTGGTAAAATGATTAGGAATGGAAGAAGAGTGGTTGAGAATGAGAATGAAATTAAAATCTTTTTCTATTTACATTGTATCATAATTAAGTTACACTTCAATGTATTTATTTCCTCAAATAGAGTTCAATACTCCTAAGCAGCCAATTCTAGAAACACTATTCAAGTCCATTCTTTTTTATCAAAGGAAATCATAGGAAGGGCTATGCATACGTTCTAAGTTATTAGAAATGTTCTACGTAGTCACATGTAGCCTTAATAGCAATAAGCCATATGGTTTAATGTAAGCACATAACTTGTCATTCTGTACTTACAGTACACTTTTTAAGGTACTTGTACTTCACTTAAATATTTACATTTCATGCCACTTATATATGGGAAATATTGTTCTTTTTATTACATTTATTTAACAGCTGTAGTTTCTAGTTACTTGATTAATCTATGATTATAGGTTAAACTACCCAGCTGCAAAAACATTAAAAGTCTGTAAATAACATTGCACATAATGTAACACTGATGAGGGCAGTTCAGCTGCCTAATGAGTGCTTTTACTATGCATACATTTTTTTGTCACTTAAGTAAAATATTGAATGCAAGACTTGAGATCAACTATTTTTGCATTGTGGTGTTGCTACTTCAATTTTAAGTAAAACTCTAAATACGTCTTCCACTGCCGCTATCGAGTACTGTATGTTTTCTAAGCACATCAGGTGCACCTAGATTAGGAAAGGTTGTGGGTTAGGTTTGCCATTTTGGTTTTTATAGATTCTGGGCTAATATGCACAGCAAAGCAGAGACTTGACACAAGTAAACATGTACTTTTGCCCCCTTGCATGGATGTACCTCTGCAATGACCAACATTTCAGGGCTCATGGTTTATTACTGTTTCAACATCAGTTGAACTTTGAAATGCATTGTCACTACAAAGCAAGAAACCTATATGTGCCTTCTGCAGACTTGTACTGATTTATTGTACACTTTAACACATTTTCAATATTTTGACACTGACATTTGACATTGTGACATTATCTCACTGCAATAATAAATTATGTCTTAATTGTAATAAAGTGGTATTTAAGAAACAGTGTATTTTTTATTTTCAATTCCAATACTGTTGTACCTGTGAAATTCTCTGCTGAAATAACAAATACAAACAAGAAAAATAAAAGACATTGGTTTTAATATAATACATTTTAATGTCCTTTTTGTCACATTGCCTCAACATACAGTGGTTTAATAACACTGGAAGAACAAAACATCTACTGACTAATTCAATAATTTTCCATATACAGTGTTTTTTAACAAACAAGGAATGATAACATCTGTTATTTTAGTCATTTACAACAAAACCCTTGGTTTAAATTTTAAGGTACTGGTTTTACAGCCTATTAATGGCCTAGTATAGGCTTTCAAACAAGAAAGAAGCTTTAATCTGTGGAAAGACAACTTTGTCTTAACTGTAAAAAACAGCATTGTCATCCCTCAGTGTCATCCAAAACAAAATGATCCCACTTTCATCACCAGTCGGCTCTTTCTCAACTTCACATGACAATATCCTGTGTTCTAAAGTGCACACGTGTTTCTCTGCCTCTTGTTTAGTGACTTCTTGTCTCGTGCATAAAGCTGATATAATCCTGTAAACACAGTGCGGAAAGCCACAGTAATCCTGCACTGAAAGGACACACCTAATGTATGTAGGCAAGAGCTCTGTGTCATTGTCCTTTTGCCGAGGCGTTGCGTGAGCCAAGGGTCAAGGCAGTTATTGTCCAGCGCTGTTTTGCGTCATAAACATTATGAGCTCAAAGAAGACGTTTCACATGTCTCCATTAAAAGACCCCAGAGCACTTATTATTATATCCCTGCAGAGTATCTATCACCATGATGAGAATGATGTCTTAGAGCAAGACAAAAGATTATCATCAATCATAAGATTCAGTAAATCATAATCATAATCAGCGTTTTGGTCAAGTACGTATATGCTTGCAAGGAACTACGGTTTGAAGTTGCTCTTAATGTAATACACACAGATCCAAGAACAATATACAGGAGGACAGAAATAGACGTACAACTAAAAACAAAACAGTGATAGGTAAAAATAAATATAGAATTATAATGTACATACAAGTGGGTAAAAACACAAAATATATCTGAAAAGCAACAACAAATTGTAGACAAATACAAATAACAGATTTATATTTTGTAATAGATACTACTACTATAAGTAGGTAGTTATGTGCAGTATATGAATGTATAAATGAAGTATATACAGCCTACATGTTAGAGCACAGCATGTATTTTAAACTGTAAATACATATTTTGTCATTTGTAGATAAGTGGATGTTTTGGTGTTATCCACGCTATGTGACTGATTTAGTTGTTCATGGGAGTGATGTGTGTGAGAAGAAGCTGTTATGGGTTTGGTTGTTTAGGTGAACGGTGCTCTGTAGCGCCCACTAGAGGGGAGAAGATGAAGCAGGTTGTGTCCAGGGTGTGTGATGGGTATGCAGTTATGTTTCCTGCCGATTCCTGAAATGAAGGTAGATTCAATGATTGTCTTTGCAGTCGTAGTCTCCTGTCCTGCAGTGATAGATTTACAGCTATCAGTAGCTCCTGGGGAGGGTTGAGTGTCCTGAGCTGCCCTTAGAAGTACATCCTCTGCTGGGCCTTTTTGATGATGGATTCAAGGTTGGGCGCCCACTTTAAGTCCTTTGAGATTGTGGATCCCAGAAACCTGAAGGTCTCCACAGGAGACACACAACTCCAACAAAACAGCGCGAAACCATATTGGTGGTATCGTGTGGCAGTGGAAAACATGTTACACACCATGCAGCAAAGGTAGCGGGGAGAAAGAAATGAAAGGATCACATAAAAGTTCTGACCTCAGTTCTGTTGGACAATTAAAATGTTATATGGTTTAAAAGTGGTTAACAAGCGGTTGGGTGCATAGAGCAATTCAGATCACTATGATGTTGGGTCCCACCAGAGAAAAAAGCTTATGTAATTACAGTGCCTTTCTCTCCCTTTGCTGCCTCTCAGCCACCCACTCATTATCCAATTGAAACACATCCTCATGTATCATAGCCTCCATTATTGGCTATATATACATGTAAGGCTTCAGTAGAAAATGCAACATGCAAGTTGTTCTCTTTGCTGGTGTTTCATGCGACTGACTGCACACATAAGACCTCTGGTGAACCCAAAAACACATTTCTATTAAATCATTAGAAACTAGGCCTTCTGGCTGCTAAGTAAGCAAGTTAGAAAATTAATAAATGACTACCAGTCGAGAATACTGTCATGTGGGATTCAAGAGCTTTACCAGGCACACAAAGGGTCAAAAAGCACATTTTGTGTCTCACCCACCTGTTGCATTTTGGGGGTATTTTGTTGATGAGAAGGCTTTTTAAAGCTACATTGGCTTTCCACCCTTTCTGTATCAGTTACATGTGTGGACAATATGCAGCCTGTCTGATACAATCAATCCTTCCTGGCACATAAAGACTTCAGTTAGCAATCCGAGTATCCAATTAGGCTTTGGGCAGGAGTTAACAGGCCAAAATCTAAAAGATCCAGAAGAGGACAGAGGGCCTTTCTTTGCACTCTTTTGGCCAAAGTACATTCATACTGACCAGGCTAAACTAATAGTGCCTTTAGAATTATTTCCTTGGTGGGATAATAGGTAAATCATTAAACATTTATTACCTCAAAAGTAATCAAATATCTACAGCAACAAATTTGCACAGATCAAACTTTCCATTACCTGTAATATTACAATAAATACAGGTGATGACAAACACATTAAAAGCAAGCAAACTTTAGCTGAAATTACTAAACATACATTTAGAGACACTTACACAATGACTTGAAAGAGATGATGAAGAATAACTTTCTGAAAAGTATGGTGCTACCTCTGATTCAGAGAGTGTAACACTGCCACAGAAAAAGCTCACTATATTATCACCACTTAATGGACCAGTGTGTAATATTCAGTGGCATCTAGCAGTTTAGTTGCTGATTGCACTCATTCGCCCTTCCCTTCAAAGCGTGTTGGAGAAACTACAGTGGCCACAAAAAAAGCAAAAGGCCCTGTCTAGAGCTGGTTTGTCCTTTCTGGGCTACTGTAGAAACATGATGGACTCCGTAGAAGAGGACCCTCTGTAGATAAAAACAGCTCATTCTAGTAATGAAAACACAATTATTCTGATTTCCAGGTGAGCATAAACTAATGAAAACATACCTATGAGTATTATATTTCATTTCTGCCAA